TTCGGAAATCATCGGTCTTATCGTCGAACTAGACGTCACCAACGGATGCAACTATGTTGCATCCGTCTAATATGCATCGCCGGCTGGCATCGTCGTAATTATTAAACCGCAAACCGGGGCAGAACCTGAAGCCGAGGTCTGATTCAAAAAGTACTTTATCGTGCCGCCGTTGTGTATGATCGTCATCAACGTACGCAGCCACGTGGATCGCAAGGTACCGAGAAATCGATTAGAGGTCGGCCAGCTGTTGCGACGCTGAAAAAGGAACCACCAAGCCGCCGTCGCGAATTATTACGAGCGGTGAGATATCGCCGGGGTAATTGTGAGAATTAAAGATCAGGAAGTGGCCAAGGGACGATCTCGCGAGAGGCCGTAGCGAAAGCCGTAGCGGATAATCAAGGGCCGGGACATTCGTCAAATTGTGAAACGGATAAAGTACGATACGGCAGACAGAGAGAATTAGGGCTGTTAAAAGCGAGCCCGACATTCGCGTACGAATTTCGCAATTTCGCTTCATCCTCGCTAATGCTCGCATGTGCTCCGCCGTAGAATTGTGCGGGAAAATTCGCTGGACGTTCCGATACACCGTGCCCGAAATACAATGGTAAGTAGTACGTGTCTCGAATAAATGAGCCTATGTAGGACACTAGAATGGAGACAACGCCGCATGGAATCGCATGGAAAGGGTAAAAGTTATTTCGGTGTAAATATCAGGTCACCGCTATTTCAACCGTTATCCTTAAAACGAAATGATCGCGATATTGTATCTATTATCCTACTTCATAACCGTGACAGACATATTAAACAGATTACCGGTATTACTTTTGAATTTCGCGCTGTTTGCACACAAAGCTTCGTGATAAGAGAGAGAGAGAGAGAGAGAGAGAGAGAGAGAGAGAGAGAGAGAGAGAGAGGGGGGGAGGAGCGGAGGTGTCTCGCTTACCCAAACTTGTAGATTAAAATTACTTGTAGATTAAAATTAATCAAACGGCCTTTTTCGCGTCGTACGCAAACGCCGTCACTGTGCGAAAGCTCGCGTATCACAGCTCTTTCCGCCGAATATTGTTTCGCACATTGAGTCTACCGACTTGCACTCATCGAGTTCTGCTCGTATGTAGTACAACACACGTGATGTTTCAACGTTCGGGGTTTCGCCCACGCCGTGCAGAAAAGTGGATAATCAGGGCATAAGTAGGAGAGAAAAGGTGCACCGGACTCGCCTTCTTTTTCCCGCTCACTCGCCGGAGTATTCCCGTTACTTCACGGAATCGTGGGAAATTGGGTACTCAGCCAGGCTAATTAAACACACATGGCCTTTTGTCTTCGAGACGCGATACGTGGCCGAGCAGCGTTTGCCGCGGCGAACATTACAACGTGAGGTGGCAAAAGCGCGAGTGCACTTGACACGAAAACCACTGTCGAACGTCCCGATAATCACATTAGGATCGTTAGAGCCGGCATTATTCAATTTTCTCAAGTGGCGTCGCGCAATTGTAAACGAAGAAGAAACAACAAACAAGCGATATTATTATCAAGCAATCGAAGCGATTGCTATTAAAAAATGTCGACATTAATTTACCGGAAAAGTTAAGCACAGAGTAAATTGCTTATCCATCGTGAGTGCACAAGCTCGAAGGAGGATTACTTCTTCAATCAGCGGCGCTTTCAGACCCGAGGATTGCGCGTGCATCTGTATTGAGCGCCGATGACGTTATCTGGCAAGTTAGATTATAACTAATAATAGCATCAGTGTCTCACGCTCATACCGTCAGCTGCAAATTTGTTAACGATGCCGCTAGATCTCTGCTCGACGCTGCGATAAATATCTCGATACGAAGCCTGCCTGTTCTATTAGTTTGGATTTCGTTCGGATGAGATATGAATATCAAATCGATGAATATCAGTCATCGATGAGCGGCTCGACAAAGTAACGAGTAATGATGAAACCCGCTCGTGTCGCAGTCGATACCTGACGCCGATCGGTCTAACGATAACGTCAGCATCGATCTCTCGTAGTTTCAATAGGAAACGGCACGTACTCGCGAAAGGACAATAACTGGATACGACTCGACGGCCGAAGCCGAAGAAACCAACCAGTCGGTCAGCTAGTCGAACGGTTGCAATTAAGGAAACTGTGGAAAAGAGGAAGAAATAAAAACAACAGAAACGTTCGAGGCGCGTACACACGGCGAATACACGTGGGAAATGCGATTAAACGCCGCCGCATCGCGACAAGGTGCCACCGTGGTCGTTAACCTCTCCGCGAGCAGAGACGGAGGCGTGCGTGTTATTAGAGCAAAATGCAAATCGTCTAACGACGACGAGAACCTTCTCTCTCGGCTTGTCTGAAAACAGCCATTTCTATCGATCGCTCCACGTGAGAGCATCGTAGGAAGTGCGCGCCAACGCCGGGAGATAATATCGCCGTGAGATGCATTCGCGTCGAGTGAATTTCCCGAATCCGACGAAAACTACGCGACATAACGAAAAGCGAGTACCAAGCCGAAAAATCGACCAACGGATCGGCGCCGCGAACACGGTCGACGTGAAATCGCCAAAATACCGTTAAATCCGTAAGATCGCGCAGGACGTAGGAAGCGTCGCGTCGCGAAAAACCCCGTCGCGATTCCACGCATGCCGCGTATCCCGCAAAGCTCGCCGTAACGTGCGGCGAGTAAATAGGTGAACGACTTTCCTCACGATAGAACGCCGCGTGCGTCGCGATCGCGAGCGATAGTCGGCTATGAATCTTTCGCGAACTTTTCACACGTTATTGCCGCGATAAAACCGCTCCCGCCGGCCACTTTCCACCGCGTGGAAAAACGAGCGAGGCCTCGTCGTGGAAAGTCGACTGCTGCTGCGTGCATCGTCGGAGATGATGAGAATACCCGCGCGAGCACGTCGCGTCTCATTTATGAGACGTGCGTTTACGCGTTTAATGACGAGAGCACGTGCTCCCTCGGACGGAGCAAGTGTAGAGCCGTGTCTTCGCGTCGAGGAGCGACCGGAGGCAGGGAAAGGGGGATAAAAATTAAAGCTACAGCCGCGCGATCACAGCTATCTCTCTCTCTCTCTCTCTCTCTCTCTCTCTCTCTCGCGCGCGCGTGCAAGATGTGATCCTGCGATAAGACGGCGCGCGGCTACGGCGAAGAGCTAAGAAAGTAACGAAATGATATTTCGGAATACGCTTCTTCGTAGAAGCCATCTCTCTCCGCCGAGCTAATTGGATCGAGGACACTCTACCAGTTTTACCGGTCGCCATTATCGTTCGGCTGATGTTTAATGCAGATCCAGTTTATATCGTCACGCGACGGTAGGCGAGTGAAATTTCAAATCAGATAGAGAAGAATCGGCGTATCCTCGCGCGAAACGCGCGCATAGACGCGCACACCGATCGACGCGATGCACGCATCGCATACATCATGCACTAATTAGCCGGTAACCTTCGCTTGTATTCAGCCACTGCAACTCGTCTGCAACTCGCATATGTAATCGAGCGCTTCGGTAATTCGTTGCTAAGTTCAACCACGCCACCAGCGTGGGATGATCCCGACCCTGAACTTGGCCGAATGCTGAATTATGATGTCTACTCGCAAATCATTCGACAGAAAGAGAGAGAGAGAGAGAGAGAGAGAGATGACGCGTCTTCGTGTGTGTGACGGTTCGTATGTACATTGCATTCGCGTGGACTTTGAACATGTCCCTTCGAACACACTGAGGCGAGTACGATTTAATTAGAAAAAAGAAGCCATATGTTTGAGCTGAGACTCTTGAGTTCTTTTTTTCTAAAATATCCTGTATTTAAGAATATATATTAATGTGTGGCAAACGCCAATCAATTTGCATGCGTCTCGAGAGAAATTGGAAAGCTCGCCGGCACTAATTTGCAAGATACCCCATAATTCGTAACGAGCATTCGGTTAAGTCGGCGTATTGTACACGTGTGCTTGATTAGCGGCAATTTCGCCAGCGGTTCCGCAAAATGAAGTGCTCCAATGGCACGTAAAATAGAGAATGTCGTTACGAACTGTAAGTATTGTCTCATAATCAGACGAGCCATTAAATTTCTTGGCGCTTAGAAAGCGACAAGTGAATGGGATGCAGTAATGATTATTATAATTTCCCGCGTGCGTTAATGAGCCATTATATTTTCCACGGGAGATTAATCCATCTTTTGCACGAAATGCCCTACCTCGGCCGCGCTAAAGTTTTCTAAGAAGCAGTCCAATTACGTTTTATGGAAAATTCATAACGATCCGTTACACAAAGGCGTGATTAAAGTCAATCACGAAAATAATCAGCCCTATCCTGTAACTCACGTTCTATCTCATCAAACATAAGCAAGACATCGAGACATACGAGTTTCAATTCTATCGAAAGGTCTATTGTATTATCATTACTGTTTTAAAAAATTTATTTAAAAAACTACCTTTTTTAATATCTCAAACTGTTGTTTCAAAATGCAGTATAAAAACACCAATATTTATATTAGTATATTGATAATGCAATTACATTACTTTAATTTTTACTAAACATAATCTACCGTATTACGCATTGAATTGAACTTTTTTTATATTTTTACTTTTTCAAACAGAAATATCTCTATATATTGCGAAATATCTGACAAGAATTTAGATACACTAACTTTTTTTCTCAAATTTAAATCTCCTTCCTTTTTCTCTCCGACTAAAATCCATATATATTTGCATTTAATATGCATCGTTGCGTTCATAACGAAATTATGTCTGTATTGAAGTATTTATGACACTTGAATACGATTTCTGCTTTTAAGTGAAATGTATAATTTGAATACATTTCTATTCGAGTGTTCTATTTGACTATCCATTAGATTAGTGTAAACCCCATTATTTCAAAGTCCACAGAGACATTTTATCTTCCGACAAAATCATCAATTGAATAATTTTTCACACAATGTTTATCGTATTTAACATATAATATGCGTCAATCAAAAATTACTACACGAAAAAAGGTCCACCCACCTTCGAAGGCCAATGCGACGAGGAGGAAGCAAAGCGTCGCGATCCTGCGTTCCATTTTCTTAGCGGGCGCGACCTTCCGCGTGAACTCCGACCTTGAACGTCCACTCAGCACCTGGTACCCTGGTAGCGGCAGACCGAGGAGGAACCGTTCCGCTACCACACCGACTCGGGCCAGCAATTAATCCGTCCGCGGTGAGCGCACTGTTGGTCTCGCGAAATCACCGAATGCACCTCGGGAGAAACATCATTTCCGGATACGAACGACGAGACTCTGCTTTCCTTACCGGGCTGAACACACTGAACGCGGATTCGCTCGCACGTGCCAGGTGAGAGAATCTTCGAACGGGGTTAAGGTGGCGGCAACGACGACGACGACGATGACGACGACGACGACGACGACGAGGTAGTGCATCCACTGGCAGAGCTCGTGGACTACTCTCGATGGCTCCGAGATTCGCACGAGGTACCGATGTCGGACGTTCTTTCCTGAGGACTGAGGTGCTTACTCCCTGGCAGGAAGTCGTCCAGGTGTTCTGCTCCCCCACCTGATGCTCCTCGCTACCACCTCCTCGGCAAGTAACGACCGCTGTGCCGATTGCCATCAGGAACGAGGCTGGCCTGTGCGACTGACTGACTGTTCTTCCCCTCTACTTACGCGCCTCTTCGGTATTCAGGCCAATCTGCGAGCTAACGCGTCACCGAGTCGCCCGAACACCATAATCGTATCCCGTGGGATGGCTGGATTAGCTTCCTCTCAGCCGAACGACGATATCAGCTTATTTTGCTGAAATCAAATTACGCAAGGAGATGAGGAGGGACTCTCTCGGCAAAGATTGTTTACACATTGTTTAACAGCGTGCGAAAGATGTGTTATTATTGATGTGTTTTAACGCTATAAATTGGAGTCTTTTAACCGAGATGAGTTTTTTCAGATAAATAAGTCTCGATGACGATTAGACTTATAACGCGACTATCAGCGTTCGCTTCTAATAGGCCCAACGGTTCCCATCGGACGAGCAACAATCGCCAGTAATTGGCGTACAATCGGTGAATCCGATCTTTCGGATTCTCCGTCGGTTGTTCATAATCACATTTTTGCACGTCGTCAGATCGTAGGAAAGTGTCGGTACTTTCGACAGAAATGATGACAGTGTGTTATAAGCGGCTTACGTGCGTCTCCGTAATGCACCGTTATTATTACGGTAAATCGTCGAAAACGTCTAATCTTTTTTTTTTTCTTTGCGAGATGATATAACCGGGGCTTTACGTCAAAGCCGATAGTAAAGGGGATGCTTGTATAAATTTTCACAATTCGCGCATTTACATAATTCGCGACGTTACTGCTCCGCACGATAATTGATAATTGTCAGTGTAGAATCATCATGCGGCGCATAATTGCAGGTTCACAGAGAGCGGAGCACATCGCTCGACATGGGACCGTAGAAATGGAATCGAGAAGTCCCGAGGAAAATAACAGATATGCAGTGCTCCTCGGGGAGCGCACGCAATTGCGAAAACTCGTGGAAACTCCGGCGGCATTTTGTAATGATGTACTCGCGGTTGAGAACAATGTGTGTATAATTACGCAGAAAATACAAGTGTAGCGGTAACGCGTACGCGTGTAAGTAACTCCTTTGTCCCACAACACAAAGTTGAACTAATCGCAAGGAAGACGTCCCTTGCAAAATGCGCGACGTAACAGGATCGACGCGACAACGTTGACGCGACGAAACACATGTCTGACAATGTGAAAGAAAACCAGAGTAGAGAAAAAATAACTCCACCCCTGAAATCGAATTTCCAAATTATATCTCCACGTAAATGTTTCATCTGTCTCCGCCAAGGATGCTATCAAAGTTCCAAAATTTACATTCTTAGACCTACTTTATCAGAGTATCATTGTTACACGAACACATGTGTGTGTATTCCCTTCCCCAAGGTGAACGCCTCGGTTACAAACGTGAACTCGTTTCAAGCCGAAACTGATATTTCAGACGATATCTTGTTTCTTAATTTCTTGTTCAGTTGCAGCGTACAATTTTCTTTTTACCGAGGCGAGAGAACCCAGAATCGTGTTTAAGCAGGAAGAACTAGGAAGACGATCATCCAACCGCGTCACCATAAACCGGTACGCCTAGCCCTCGGCAGTTCCTCGTTTGAGTTAATTATGGTTTCTTCTGGATACTAACAATGAGAAGAGCCATAATTCTATCTTTGCAGAGCGCAAGCTCGTGCGTGCTGATCAACGCAACCATGAAATTTAATAGTCCACGCGAAAGTGTTTCGCATGCTTGAACCCTGTTCATCGCTCCAGAAACGTAAGATCAACAACAGCGATGATTTTCAAAATTTAATTAACAACACGCACGGAGTCGAATTGTTTCCTGCTTGCTGAAATATTTCCTACATGAATCTTCAGATATTTTCATTGACGACAAATCAGCTTAAAACAATAAATTGGTCTGTTCTTTGTAGCTGCACTGCTGAACTGGTGCAATAAGCTAGAGTGAGAAAACCTATATTTGCCTCACTTTAACTTATTGCACCAGTTCAACAGTGCAGCTACGTATAAAGAACAGACCTCATGTCTAAGACTATCCGAGTTGCAGATCTTATGTTAGGAACTAATTGAACGAGAGACGCGGAATTTCAGATTATAAGATTTCGGGATCTAAAAGGATTCGGAAGCAACCAGCCTGACCTGAAGTTTAACAATCAACATTGGATCCAGTATGTATGTTTTTAGCTGACGAGAAAAATACAATAAATCGACTTACGTATCTTCAGGGACTATTATAGAATCACTCGCTCTGATTATCGCTGCTGCTACCATTCGAAGTCAGAGCGCCTTGTACTTAACAATTTTTTTTAAAAAAACACCGAGAAGAAAAACACACAGAGTGGCGCGTAGACGAGCCACGTAACCGGGTTCTTGAAAGCAAGGACGCGCACGGGCATGGCCGTGCGTCCGCCGCATTCCGTGTCACTCGATTGAGAAGAGGTCACGATTGGTTATTCAATTAGAAATGTAATGCGTGAAGGCGAGCTGCATAGCGTACGCGACGGATATCGCCGGCGCATGCGGTCGCATTCGTTGTGGCGAGCGCGGATACTTACGCGGCCGTTTACGACGCGCCGCGCCGTGCCGAGGCAGCCATGCGTGATTTTCGATTATCGTAGCTCTTGTTTACTCTGTTCTATTTTGCGGTGGAACGGATTCTCGATCGCTCGGCCGATCGCAAAATGAGGATCAAAATGCCGACCGCATACTCGGCGTAGGGAATGCGGCGCGCGCGAAGAAGCGTTTAGAGCACAGTGACGCGAACCGCGCATTGAAATCTCCCTGTAGAACGAATCAGGCGCGGCTGGACCGAGAGATACCATCGTCTACTGTAGAATGTCTATTTTTGTAATAATACTTTTCGCTGCAGGACGGAGATGTGGTACTGGCGATTCTCGAATTTGTTACGAACTGATACAGACTGATACAGAACTGATACGCTTTTAAGGGAACGAGTGGTGGTTTCATTGTGACATGCTTCCCCAAAATTAAGAACTTCTCCAATGGTAAAAAGTCGAAATATCCAGAAACATTTGGTTTTTAAATATTCAGAGAACTTTAACGAGACAGTACACTTTCCTCGAATTTTTCAATCTCGACGTCCAAGAGCTACATTCGTCCGTCGTCGAGAGAGCGATGTTTTCGAGTAACGTTGAATCATCTAACGGGCCGCGAATGCAACAGCGCTGCTGCATCTACTGCGCTTTGAATTAATCGCACGCCGGATCCACGATGGATCCTATCTTGTCGAGCTATCGAATCGGCGAGCGATACTCCATCTATCCGCACGCGGAAGCGAGCGAGGCGGGCGGCGTCGTCCGCGGCCGCGAGAATCGCGCGATTACGCGGCGCACCGCGAGTCGCGGGACCAGATTTGTCAAAAGATGGAAATTCGGTGAGACGAAAGCTAGCGGTGTGTGTCGCCTCACGAGACTCGAATCGAGTCACTTGTTAGTAACGCCGCGGCATCTTGACCCACATATCGCGACCGCCATACAACAAACGTAACACTTTGTAGCCGCATGTGTGCTTACCGACGGTCATACATGCGCGCCAGCACACACCTGTGCCGCGTGCACACATGCATACAGGTACCTCCTGTCCTCTCGTCGTGTAAGATCGGGTTTTCGTTCACGATTCTGGCACAGGACGCGAAGAGATCCTTGAATTGACGTAAAACGGACAGTGCATACGATTATTATCGCTCGTCCTCGAAGGATGCTCGATCTCCGTGTCTAGGATAATAGCGAGGCGCTTGTGTTACTTTATGCTCGGGACACACGATCGTGAAATAATACGCGCGCTGTGTCCGATTTTTGTTGACCGGTTGTTATATGCAAAAAAAGAAATATGTTAATCGAGTCGCTTCGTATCCGGATTAAATAAGGCTTCGAGCCGCTGCCTCGTAAGATCTCAAGGCGAGGAGGATGACTCACAAATCTTCGTCGTTGCAAATTTCCCTATTATATAAAATCGACACTAAGCCAACGCACGGCTCGACATTTCGTCAGTTCGTCAGCCGCGGAGCGAGTCGGTTTCATCGCCTTAATCAAGCAGCGTAACGAAGAAATTAAGTGCCATATAAGACGAGGCTTTAATATCGTTACCTGCCGCGTGATCTAGACGCGTCTTAACAGCAACAGGAACTATAAACTTTTCTCTCTCGCCTTTCACCTGAACCGTCAAGTACCCGATCTGATGACGACGCCTGAATCCCGTGAATCCCTACCGCGTCATCTTACCCGAGAGTTATTAAACTTTCGAAGTCCGTTGAATAATTACCGGGGAATTCGAGCGCGTATAAGGACGAGGTCGTTGACCGGCGTGTTCTAATCCGATATCGAATGGAGAATTTCCCCGTTAATCGTCGGTGGCCATGTCCACTGACAGCACGCTGCTGTTCGTCGCTTCGTCGCTGAACGAACTGAACGAGAACTCGACGACCTCGCCGTTTTCGAGTTGCCGAAAAACGACAAGTCGCTGCGATCTCGATCATTTTTCAATCATGCTTCGGTCACTTCGATCTCGAATCGAAAGAATCGAAATTTTCAACTGCACGCTGAATCGCGTTCTGTCGTGTGTACAGCATGAATTTACATCATTTTTTATTATTTTACATACATATGCGACATTAATACACGCTGTTCGTTGTAATTTCCTGCTTTATCATTCGTTTCGAAAAAAAAAATCGAATACCATCACTGATTGAGAAGAGTGGGATTAACCGATCGTTGCGATCTCTGAAAACTTTTTCCCGACGAGTAAGAGCCGCGTGCCGAAGTGATTCGTATCTGAGTTGGATTCGCGAAAGATTCGATCATTTTCTCTCTCTCTCTCTCTCTCTCTCTCTCTCTCTCTCCGCGAAACCGACGGACGTAGATTTCGAGATTACAACGCCGCTTTCCGTGGTGTACTTCTTTTTTTTCCCAGAGCACGTGTGCACGCTGTTAGTACACTTAAATTGTTCTTCTTCACGCGTGTGATGTTTTCCCGCAACCTAGCTATCACTACGCATCATCTATGTGCATCATCTGCTATGCTGCACTTCGCGCGACCCCGATCTAGCTGTAGGAAATTCGTTAAGAGTGCCGATGTCTATGGAAAGTCAAAGCGACGGCGGCGGCGCGGGATGAGAGATGGTAGATATACAGTTGCGCTGGTGGATTGTTGTCCGTTCGCATGTGCAACATGTATGTA